AAATATTTGTTGAATGAATGTGTGCTTGAGGTCAGGCCAAGAAGTGCAGAATGGTGACACCTCCTGCTTGCCTACTACTTGGGTCTGAAAAAGGGACTGGCCCCTTCCCCAGCCAGCTTTCCCCTCTCACCTGTGGCCCATGCTGGCCTCAGAAGCTCCCTGCCCCCTGCCCCCTGCCCCCTGCAGATAACCTTGAAGGCTCCCCTGGGGCAGCCGGCCTGGCGCTCTGCTCCGCTTGCTGCTGCAGCATGTGCTAGCAGTAGGCCAGGCTGCAGAGGGGAAGGGCCCTCCTGCTGGCCAGGAAGGGACTGACCCGTGCCCCCTGGGCTGAGGAGAACTGCAGCTACTGCTCCATGGGTAATGAGGCTGGGGATGGGGTTGGATCTTAGGACCAGAACTCTGAATCCTGAAGTTATGGGTTGACCATTGTAGCTTCAAGGATGGGGCTCTCAGGTGGAGGAAACGCCCACTGGGTCTGTTTGGGGTGGCGAGCCCACCAGAGAAGATGGTGGGGAGGGGGGAGGTTGGTTCTTGGTTCTAGCTGAATAACCACCACATCCAGACACTGACCACCAAAAGGGTATTGGTCTTGGGCGATCTCAGCCCCAAGATGCTGGCAAGCCACTGGCAGGGGGACAGGGTCAAGGGGGTTTGGGCGAGGCTGCTTAGCCAGGGAGGGGTCTCCTCCCGTGGACACTGGGTTCAGATCCCCTCGCAGTGTAGACCAGTAGGGAGCAGTGGTCCAGGCACCAGGAAACCTCTGCTGCCTCCGTCACCCTGGGCCAACTTCCTCCCCACAGGCCTCAGTCTCCTCAGCTATCAAATGGTGAGGTGGTTTGACTGAACATAGGTAGAAGCAGTGTAGACCCTCCCACTGTGGCTCCAGAAGGGAGGCTGGAGGAGCTAGATCCATTTTCATTAATCACATCAACAAATATTTACGTGCCGAACGGCTGCTGGTACTGGGCTGCTCTCATGGACAGATACGAACTAATTGTAGAGCATCATAGGAGTAACCAACATGCTTGGGATGAGATGAGCCGAGGGCTCCAACCACAGACGGTGGCCCAGGCTAGAGCTGCTCATCCTAGACATTTGCAAGGAAGGACTCTGTGTTGAGTCACTCACTATGTGGCCACGTGACTACACATCCTTCTTTTCCATGCAGAATGAAAACACAAAAAGCTTATCTTTGAGCATAAGTGGCAAACTGGCTAGAAGATAGGTCACACTCTCCTACCCAGATGTCTCCCCAAGACAGTGTGCCCCAGAGGACCCCAGTGGGCAAGGGGAGTGAGCATATCCCTTTCCTGGCCCCTTCCATCTACAACCAGAAGACAGGGTTGGGGGAGCAGCCTGTGGTGTGGCTGAGGTGGTCTTGGGCCCGTATCCTCAGCCACCATGGGCGGTGCGGGGAGGGAGCTCTGGACACTGAGCAGTAGAGGGCTGGAGCCCCTTGCAACTGAGGAAGCCTGGCATGTTCCACTACACTGGGACTCCGGCCAGTGAGTTTGAGTCCTGGAAGCTCTGTAATGCGAAGGGGATCCTGCCCTGCCCAACTGCAGAGGTGTTTTCATGGCTGGATCTACTCTTCACCAGGGACTGGGCTCTACTATAGTTCTGAGCAAGGCTGCAGTGCCCCTCCCCTCCACGGACAGCAGCTGGGGCCTTGAGAGGCTTCTCCTAGGGCTGCACAGCCTCCCTCTGTGGGACCGTGGAGAGCAGCTCTAGCACAAGGCAGGTGCTGATCTATGGAGGCAAGCTCAAGCGTAGCTGGCTCACTCCTCGCACGGAACACAGGTGTTCTGGGACCACCGGCCCCGAGACACTTCTCTTCCTTTGGCCATCGCCGTCCCCCACTGCCCTGGAGTAGATGAGGCTCCCTGGGCTTGAGGGGCACCAACCGGCAGCAGCCTCTTCACCGGCAGATGGGTGACGGCTGCCAGGAGTCCTGCACTCCCAGTGCTGTGGGGTTGGGAGGGCAGAATACAGGGGTCTGTTCACAGGGAGTGTCCTGTGAGCTGGCCACAGCCCCCACCCACCCCTCCACAACACCCCACAACCCAGCCTGGCCCCACGCTCACTCGCTTTCAAGCTGGAAGACTGGGATCCACCCCAAGAGTGGGGGCAGCAAGGGGCTGTGTGTCCCAGGATCAACATTCCCTCAACCACCGACCTGGAAGTTGCTAAGGAGCTGGATCACCGCTCATCTTGCCTGTTCACACTGAGGCCCAGGAGAAGGCTCTGGCAAAATCATCTGATAAGTCACCTCCATACCTGTCACCCCTTCAGTAAAGACCTTCATTCACTTTGATGTCACCACTGGCTCTCTCCATTAAACACGCGCTGAAGAGACACAAGCAGGGCAAGTCCTGGGGTTGCTGCCATCACCACTGGCCACAGTAGCCCCAGCTCCCCGTGAAGGTGTCAGAAAAGGCCAGACTCGTCTCCTTTTTTGCCTGCTATTAGCCTAACCGCGAAAGTATCTCTTTATACAGAATACTTAACAGATTCTAATATATATTTGTATTTCATTTTGTTATAGTATTTTTATATGTTAAAGTCAATATCCGGTGTCTCGTTTTGCTTTTCAGATGTGGGGTGGTTGTGACATTTTGTTTAGGGGTTTCTGTAGTCTTGTCTGGATCACTCTTTTAGAGAGACTGGTTTAGAACAGGCCCGTGAGGGAGCCACACCTGTCCTTTCCCTAGAATTGTTCTAGAATGTGTTGGATATTGTCTTTTGTCTTCCATGTGAACATGACATTGATTCACTCAGGTTCTGCCTTGTCGATCTCTTTTTCTGCACCAAGGACGAGCCCGGGGCTGCTGACATAGCTGCTTCCCAGGGTTTGGGGGTTTCTGAGCTGCCCACACACACTGGCCACAATCCAGGGACGGCTCTCAGATGCAGCACATGTAGGACACCCGCCCTTGGAACTCTCTGGTCTTCCTGAAGTGGCAGAGGAGGTGGGTTCCTCCTGAAGGAGGAAGGGGAGGTCTAGGGGATGGCTTGGTCATCGCTCCCTGGGGATGTCAGGGCAGGCAGACCCTGGCATGGCACAGCACATGTGGAGATGTGGGGAGGCTGCTCAGCCTCATTTCCCTTCAAGTGTCTCAGTCACACCCAAATTTTGTGTTTGTGAACAGAGCCACATCCACATTTAAGCTGGCTCTGAAGGTTTCATTTAATCAGGGCAACAGATGAGAAAGCAACGTGGAAAGGTGCCCGTGCTTCATCCTGAGGGACAGAGAGCAGCTGAACCAGGTCCTGTAAGGTTAACCTATCACCATGAACCAGTGGTTCACAGGGATCAGTGGAGAAAGATGGCAAACATACTTCTACAGTAGTTCCGCTATGATTTCAGACTGCAGAATCGCTCTTAGGAGTTTTGTAGGATGCATGACCTGAGCATCTAGGTAAGGCCCAGCCCTGGCAGTCAGGCTGGGCAAGGCCACTACCACCAAGGGGGCCCAGCTGGCCCTCTGATGCCACGACTACAGAATGATTTCCCACTAGATCATAATGATGGTTGCCCAAGTCATACCTTAACAGCACGTGGTCACCCTGCAAGTGGGCAGTGATGGTAACTGCAGTGCCTGCAAAGCAATTAGGGATTTGGGAGGAAAAGTAATGAACTGGGTATAGGAGAGAAAATGGGGTAAAACAGGGTTGTAAGCTCAAGTGTCTGGACAGTAGGTTACCTAAGTAAGTCAAGTGGGCACATGCCCTCCTGGCCCACAATTTGTATCACCACTTTTGATAAAGCAGCAGGTAAGAGACCTATTTCCCTACTATTAAAGAAAATAGGGACAAATGGTAGCTGACAAGGACTATGGTGACCTTAAAGGCACATTTTCCAATCTACTGAGTTCCAGCTGATTCTCACCATGCACCAACTTTATCAGATCCTCACTGTCACTTTTTAAAAGAGAAGCCAGAAACCAAATTTTATGTCAACACTCATAGTATATGTGTATAATTTTTTAAACACTAGGCTAAATAAAACACATCTGTGAGCCACCAGTTTACAACCTCTGAGTTAAAGTGAAGTAAGTAGCAAATTTAACAGTTCAAAGGAAATCCCCAGCCAAGGAAATGGACATAGCCGGGCTTGGCTGGGGAGTGGAAGCAACAGAAAGAACGACCAGGCTTCCAACTAGAGTTGCCAAGTTTTCCTGAGATCGGTGCTAACGCATCTCTATCATCCTGATGCCCGTGCTGTCAAGAGTTAATTTTCGAGATGGCCCCTCACTCCAAGCCCGTCAGTCTGCACCTCTTAGATATATTCTAGTTATTCTACCAATAGGATCAATATGGGAGGAAAAGAAGTCTCTTTTAACAATGAAAAGTCCTAATGTGGAACAAGATGATTCTCCGAATCCCGATTAAGAGAGGTAGCCCGACTGTCAGCTGCAGGGTTATTTTTACTGGATATAGTTCTGCATGTCGATGGCCACTGTCATATAACTTACTAATGAAATCATGGCTGATTCCACAGGATTCACTGGCCCACTAGACGCTTACATAGACCCTTCTCAAGCAGAACTGAAAGAATACAGTGAAACGGTCACAAGGCTAGGAAATGTAAGAATTTCCTGCCAGCATTCTGCCAGGCCCCAAAACGGACTACAGAGAGCTGGGGCAGCCCTCCTTGGTGGCTGTGGACATCACCCCCGAATTTAACAGTGGCTTACCTGGTTCAGCTGCTCTCTGTCCCTCAGGATGAAGCACGGGCACCTTTCCAACTCCACGGTGGGAATTCCCAAGGATTCATCCACAGTGTTTTCTTTCCCCTGAAGTTAGGCGTACCTCACAAAATGGCCACAGAGCTACCAAACAATGTTCCTTTAAGTCCCAACACCGTGGCTGAGGCAGAAGTATGAAGAAGTATTGCTTTTTGGTTCCTTCTGGCAACTTCTCAACTTTGCCAGAGGTTACAAGTGGAATACTGGGCTTCCATGCATTCTGTTCCCTCTCCAGTAACTACACAAACACACTTTAATATCAAAGAAGTTTAATACGCTGCAATAAAATAAGCGCCTAGAAAAAGCTCATGGAATAGATGTCAATGTTAGAGAAATCCCTCCCACACATCCTCTAGCTCCATACCCCATCCCTCAAAACCAAACAAGAAAATCTGAAACAACAAAGGAAATCCTTCCAAGCTTGGATTTCAGCGAGGGCCCCTTTACCAATAACAAGAACACAGTTTCCTACATGGCCTAATAGGAAAGTAAAACACAGAAGCACAAAAAGCCCACAGATTTCAATATTTAAAAGACTTGGTACATATTCAAAGTTAAAATAACTCCAACTTTTATAGCTATACATATTGTTTTAAAGCAACTTAATATATTTTTAAATTTCATATATACACTCTCAAAGGTTCTTCAGGTGAGGTATGTAAACATTGTCTAATGAAAATTTTTCAATGTTTCAAACCAACAAATTCACAGCATACATTGAATTTTCATCCATTAAAGACACAGTATTTTCCTACACTCACTAACATAATGGAAATCCAGGCCCAAGAGATACACGCCGATCATCCAGATTACCATTTGCAGAATTTCTCAATTCACTGCTTTTGGAAAGACCACCTTCACACAGGTTAGGAGCGCACACTTGATACTGGGAAGGGGCTAGGCCCTCCGGAGACTCTCTCCTTGGGCATCTGGATCACTGGCTAAGACTCACAAGACAGCAAAAAGGAGCACATCTTAACAACTACAAGATTGACCTCGGCAATGACAACACTGGGAGGAACCAGAAAGACCTTAAAGGAACGGTAGAGATTCATCTTAGAGCTCCCTGGATCCACAGCCGGATCAGCAGCCCCTGCCCTAATCTCATTCTGAAGGGTCGTGGCCTAAAAAGAATAAAAATCCCACACGGCACCTGAGCTTCAGTTAAATTGCATGGGCCTCCTATGCCCCCTTGGCCCCTGAAAGGCATTAACTCTAGCCTAAAGTAGGACCCTGGGCTGTGCTTTTCATACAGGTTGGGGTTGAATTTCTTAGTATCATAATGCATATGGGAAAATAATGCCATGAGTTCACAAAGACGACCAATGCCTGCACACAGGCACAGGCCAGTGACCTTGGAGGAGCTCAATTTTGAAAACTACTTGTTCCCTGAGGGTAAACAGCAGGCTTCTACTGAGATTAAGTGAGGCTAATAAGGGGATTATTTATTACAAGGTAATAACACTTGGGGAGCCTCAGGCCAGAGTTCTATTTTACTCCCACATTAATCTACGATGCCCCTCCCCGCCCTCCCACCACCACAAGTAGTCACCTCCCCAATGACACAATATAGTCAGTCTCTTTCCTCTTGCTTGCTTTCAGGCTCAGCAATGGAAAGTTTATTTCCTAACGCACCCACTTCAATCTAAAAAAACACTAGTGAAAAATTCCAAACACCATCATAAATACAAAAGAGAAGACATATTCCAAAGCCTAAAAAACTACCTTATTCTATTCATGGTTATTTGGGTGTGGGGTATTTTTCATAAAGTTTAGGACGGTCACAGGAGAGGCTGCTAGAAAGCTGCTTAGAAAGCTGTGGAACTGGACACGCTGGGAGCCGTGGAAGAGGGACTGCCTGCCTCGCTCGGATCTAAAGGGTTGCACCGCAGACGTTTCAAACCCAGGCACAGAGGAGGATCACAGGAAACGGGCTTAGCTTTCAAAGGCAGGGTGGATAGACTCAAAGGGCTTTTAGCTGGCAATTTATGTTTATAGCCAAATGAGCTTTGCCTCAACTAGATTCTGGAAGCCCTACAAATTCATGGAAAAAGGATCATTTTTCAATCTCCATGCCCAATTTTTGATGTGTCTGGTGCTGGCAGATTTCTCATCCATTGCTAGAGTTGTATGACATGAGGAAGCGTGCAGACAAACAGAAGCAAAAATTCAAGTACAGCCACCTCTCCGGCAAAGGCAAGAGGTCTTAGCAAGAGCTGTTCTACCCCCACCCTACCCTCTGAGACAAGGGCCAACGCAGAGCCCGGAACAAATGCTATTTCCTAGGATCTTATTGCTTATGCGCAGCACATCAGAAAGAACACCTGGAAATCTGCTCTGCAGATCTGGGAACTGACCAGTTTATCATACATACGTGTATATATATATATATATATATAATATATAACATAACCAGATGAGAAGAGGGGGCAGTTAAAGCTTGGACTGATGTAGCATTACAGATCAAATGCCCCCAAACAGCTCTCAACCTGCTGGTTTCTGTTCTTTCTCCATGTGTGAACTGTGTTATGAAAGTAAGTCCACTGCTCAAAATATATCCTTCTACAATACTACAATGCAGATCAACACCACTCAGAACATGAATCTGTATACAGCACACATAATAAATATTTTTAAAAAACTATTTACAACATTACTTCTTGTGAACATTAGATGAGAGCAAAATCTATTTCCTCCTGCAAAGGTTAAAAAAGTGTTGACTGTCTAGTTCAGTGCTAAATTCCCTGGCACCTAGTTACCCATTCACATTTCATCTTAAAATCAGATTTGCTTACAAATAGTATCTTAGAAAAAAACATTCTCCAGCATTACTGTTCAAGTGTCCTCCTCATTTGTTAGAAAAGACAAAGGGAGGCCATAAGAAAATATGCAAATTATGGTTCAATTGGAGGACAAAACCCCCTGTGTGTCCAGGCCCAAGCGCTCTGTGGTCCTGGAGCCACAGTTCTCAGTCCAGCCAGCTGGGTGGAACGAGAATCCTGACTCAGACAGAGGTGCCCAGGAATGGGGCACAGGGAAGAGGAACATGATCATAAAGCCATCAGTTCCATTACATCTAGGGGTGCTCTGAATCGCAGACCAAGACTCCTGAGAAGTAAAGCTGCACACATCTTGAGAACAGAAGGTCTCATTCTGTAACCATGGGTTACAGGTGGGACTGGCCCACATCTGCACAGATGCTTGCTGAGATAGGGCAAAGGGGGAGGGGGGAGGAAGAGGAAGTGGAGGAGAAGGAGGAGGAGGAGGAGGAGGCGGAGGAGCTGAGGTGCTCTTGAGTACTGTCAAGGTGCAGAAGGAAACACGCTTATCTCCCATGGTTAATGAGTGTGAATAGGTGTGTGTCTTTCACAAACATGAGAAAGAGTACAATATACTTAATGCTTTCTTTAGGCAACCAGTGGTTTCTCCATATCCCACAGGTATGGGTTTGGATTTCCTTGGGGTTACAACTAAGGCTCATTTCACTGCACAGGCGGTCGGACAGTCGGAAGGTATCAACTGTGTATGGAACACGTGGGCTGCTTGAGGCAAGCCCTGATGTGATGCCTGGCACGGCCATACCAGTGGTGGGAGACCCACTTTGCTCTGGGACGGGATGACACTGGGGGGAAGCACTCAGGTTCCCAGTCCACATTGTATATGCCCAAACAGAGTGAGTGAGGGTTTCAACGCCGCACCTCTGCCTTCACTACGTTGTCTGAGGGTTCAGTGAATGAGCATGGCAATTGGGGAAGATGGGTGGCTAGAAAGAACACTTTTTTGGAAAGCCCTTTTGACAGTTCATTTTTTGTTGTTAAAATAAATACTTTCTATAGAAGCATTTGAACAGGAAAATATCACTATTTACACAGTGAAATAAATTCCACAGTGGTGTGAATAACTATGTATTATATAACATATTTGAGACCACAGTCAATAACACAGTCTCCTAGAACACTGGTGAAACTAATACCCTTAAGCTACAGTGGCTCTAAAACGAATCCCCATCTGTGGTATAAATATACAAAATTATGCAGATCTTGTTTGTAGAGCATCTTTCCCACAAACTACCTCCCAAATACTACAGCTTCAGCTGCAAGACAGCACGAGGTGCAGATTACAGAAAACAAGTGGGCTGAAAAAGTTGATAAACTGAAGAGCATCTGGACCCAACGGCTAAGTTCTAGAAGGAAAATAAAAGTGTTACAGAGAAAGAGGCTTCTAGTATGACACACCTGTGGTCAGTGACATGCTCGGGAGATGAGAGACCGTCCCCGAGAAGACACCTCCGGGAAGGGGGCTGGGTGGCCTGAGCAGAAGAGGGAAGAGGCGAGGCATCCAGGATGGTTCGTCCAAACGAGATGAGCCAGGTCAGAGAGCTCCGAACCTCTTCGGTCTGCAGCTGCTGGTGTGCCAACAAGGTGCCATCAACACGCTGGTGTTTTTAAGAGAGCTGGGAATGGCTAGGCTGGATTCGAGGTTCAAACAGGCACAGGCCAGCCAGTTATATTCACAAGCAGTGACCAAAGCTGGGGGAGTGAGCTTGCAAATATGCTGTACACAAAAAAGAAAAAGAGGGCTCTAGGGGGTAAAAGGAGCCTGCCTGTGCTGGCCAGGAGAGGCACTATCTCGGCTTTAGGTACATTACTAAATCTGTTTGCCATAGAGGAAGACTTAAGAGACTGTACTTCTGGTTTTAACTACTTATCCTAATAGGTAAGGTCATGATTCAACAAATATTCCATCAACGAAGGGGGATATTTTCTTTTTCTTTACTGCACAAGCATTACTCAGAAATAACATGCAACAACAGCTGTGTCCCGAGATGGAACTGGCAAGACACCCTCAAATCTAAAAGGACAGAAATGGTGCAAGGCTGGATTACAGGAAAGATGTTTGTGCCTAACTGTCTGCATAACTGACCTTGAATGACATACTACAAGGGTCAGTAAACCTTTTCTGTAAATAGCCAGGTGGTGGATATTTTATATTTTAGGCTGTGTCAGCTACATATGGTCTCTGTTACTCTGGTTTCTCTTTAGATTGCATAAATCTTTCACCTGTTACTTCTTTTTTTATTAAATATAATCCTTTTTTTTAAAAAAAAAACAGGTAGGGCGCCTGGGTGGCTCAGTTGGTTGAGTGACTGCCTTCAGCTCAGGTCATGATCCTGGAGTCCCGGGATCGAGTCCCACATCAGGCTCCCTGCTCAGCAGGGAGTCTGCTTCTCCCTCTGACCCTCCCCCCTCTCATGTGCTCTCTCTCTCATTCTGTCTCTCAAATAAATAAATAAAATCTTAAAACAAACAAACAAACAAAAAATACCAGGTAAAATGCATTCCTCCAACCTCTGGCATATTATGTTTTTAAAAAAACCTGTTTTTCGCTGCTGCTATTGCTGTCTTATGGGCCATCTGTACTTTTACGTACCTTGCCTACTGCTGAGCACCTTGTGTGACGTGGCCTGGCCTCAGGCAGGGGAGAAAGCCTCTGTGCATCACTGTACTTGCTAGGCGGACCCAGCTACACAACTGCCCCTCTGAACACCGAAGCTAAGAATATCTCCTGAGCACCGAGCGTACACCACCGGCGCTCTGGGAAAGGGAAGGACAGACAGACAGGAGGTAATGGAAGGAACTGACCAGCGCCGGCTCAGTTCCAAGAGCAAAAGCATGAGCAAGCATACCCTCTGCAGAAGCGCCCCAGGTGGTCCTCTGGGTCCCCCCAGCACAACATGGCAAAGCCCTAAGTCGGAAGCAGCATCAGAGAGCTCTGGGTTTCTGCCTGAGTATGACTTAATATCTTTAAAGGAAAGAGGTCAGACCTTCAAGTCTTCCAACCCACCCACTGTAGAACAAGCAGCTTGTTCTGACATTTCAAGGGATGAACTTTACTGAAGGTTGCCTCAAAAGGCTTTTCACAATTCTGCTTATTTTAAATACAATAATCTTTTTATTTTCATTTTTTTTCCCTGAAAAAGGATTTGGGAGGGAAGAATGCTTACTGCTGGGATGTGAGGACTGCCTTGCCAATGTGAGATACATAGACATGACTTCATACTTGTAGGAAAAATTTGCAGTATTTCAGTGGACATCAAGCCGTAAGACGACAAAAATTAATAGCTGAGAAGTCAAAATAATAATTATCTGTTTCAAAATAATTGAAACAATCACTGTTCTGGGGCCACTGACAGAAATTTTTTCACTGACACGATATTCAACTTCATTTGTAGAACAGTACAGAAGCTTATTCTTGAGTTGTGCGGGAGAGGGAGGACCAACAGCTTGGAGGTTGACTGGATTTGATCAAAAGATACAATCTACAACTTCTCCGTTACACTCAGGTTCTAATATGCTCCAATTTTCTGTTCTTTTCTAAAAGCATGGTCAAAGCAAGCCCCTATTTTTTATTTGTTGGCTTGCCTTTAATAAAGTTATTTTGAAAGGAGAGTACGTGACTGAAAAAATATCAATACTGATACATTTTTATTTTCCTAGAAGCTGGCCAAAAACATTACATAATAAATACTTTGGGTTAGTGACTGGACTTTGTTTTTCTTCTGTGAAAAGGCTTTTTCTGTATCTAAACATGTGGCTCAGAAAACTGAACCTCCAACTGAAGTATTCTCAACTAATTTTGAAAACAAAAACCAACCTTGGCTTGCCTCAGTAACACACAAGATGTGAAGCCAGAGTCAGGTCTGAGATAAGGACAGAGGGAAATGAGAGGCCAGGGCTGCACTGAGAACTCTGAAGCCCTCCTTGCCTGTGGGGCCTGACCCTAGAGACTACCAGTGGCCTCACTGTGGCCAGTGACAGGCGGCTTGAAGAAGGAAGGTGTGAGGCTACGGTATACGGTAGCTCAAGGGTCAGGAGGCCGGGTTCAGTGTTCGCTAACAACATGTCATGTCTTTTCTGTAGCAAGGAGACACAAAGAAATGTAAAAGGAAGAACAAAACTGAGGGAAGGGGAGGAGGAAAAAAAAGAAAAGAAAAGAGGACAGAGAGGGGGGCAGGCAAAAGAAAGGAGAAGATAAATCAGGCAAGATTTGTTCCTGAAAAAGGATGATTTTCTTAAACAAGGAGGGTCAGCACACTTTTTCTGAAAGGTCCAGACAGTAAATCTTTCCGGCTTTGCAGGCCACATAGTCTCTGTTGTAGATACTCCACTCTGCTGGAAAGTAGCCATGGAAAGTATGTAAACAAACGGGCATGGCTATGTTCTAGTAAACTTCTATTTACAAAAGAGCGACCAGCCCATATTCTGCAGACCCTTGAGAGAGCATCTAAAAAAGATAGCTCGCGTGGGCTGACAGGAAACCCAACAGGAACGGGGGTGGCTCCTGGGCCCAGCACCTCGGGAAACTCCAATATGGTCCCAGGCGCGGTAACAAGCCACCAGACTCGCTGATGGTGACATCTGCATTGTGTCGCATGCTGTCCTTTCCTCCTTAGCTCTTAGGTCCTTCAATCAGCAAGACGCCTCCCAGAGAGGAAAGTGACGACTGGAGCCCTCACTACAGAATCCACCACAAGGCAGGAAAGAGACCGAACTTCAGTTCAAAGCAACTGTCTTGAAGTGATGTGTTTCACTGATGTCCTATCTGAACAGTGAGAAATGCACAGAGGAGCCCATCAGGAGCACCGCGTCTGTGAAGGGACTGCGACCTGCACCTCTCCTGTCCATACCACTGCAAGAGCGAAACCCACAGCCCAAGATTATTGTTTTTAGATAAGGCTTGTGTAGAAATCTTTACTGAAATACAGATGCAACAGAATTGGCCTACCTACGGGACCCAAGGGACTAGCAACTGCAGATTAACAGACACTAGTGACATTCCTGTGCAGGACGCCTTACGAGCAGAAGAAAGGTGCACTGCCTCCCTGCTGTGCTGCAGATTGCCAGGGGTCTGAGGGGCTGCTGTGGGTGAGGCTCTGGGCCCTGACTAGGGAGGGTCTCCATGCTGTCCTCCCAAACCCAGGGAGCCTTAGGGGCTAGGAAGTGAGACTAGAAGACGGGTCTCCCGAAGAGGGCCCAGCTCTGGGGAGCTAAGGTAGAGCTTCAGTGACTGCTCCCCAGGGCCCCTGCAGCTCTCCCAGAAGCTCAGAGGTAATACCAGAATTCTCTGGTCAGCAACTTCATCTCCGTTGCTGGGACAGTCACTGTGCTGAGTAGGCCCAGGAGCAGAATTCTTCTGTGATTTGGAATCTGGAATGTGGGATCCACTGCCTTTGCATCTGGTGGCCAGCCATACTGTGAAGACGGCTATAAAAACGAGGTCTTTGCAAGACAGGGAAAACAAGGGGAAACTTGAGTCAGTTGCAGGTCTGGCTTGGAGGTGTCTAGGAGACAGTTCTGCCAGCATCGGCTGTAAGTGTAAAAGGGCGTTCCAGAGCCAGCCCTCAAGTTCATTTTTTTTCCTTTCTTCTATTAGCAAAATTAACTGAATCAGCAAAAATGAGATTCAACAAATATAAAAATACTTCTAAACTTTTAAGTGTTCTAATTATGTAGAATCCCAGTCTATTTAAGTGTTGTTACTACTATAAAACATAAGTTGATTTTAAAGATGATCCACAGCAGTGTATTAAAAAAAAATGCATACACATACCTTTTCTCAAACGCTGCCTAAAATGGGAGAAAAGGCTATTATCTTGAAGTAAGCTTTTTAAAATGAAAAGAACTTAGAAAAGTAATGGAATGAGTTAATAAGCCTGGAACTGGAAGGGCTGCACCCGCTCACTGCCTCGCACCTCCCCCTAACCTAATCCAAGCACCACTGCAAGGTAGTCTGCATGCAGCTAAGGGGGGGCACCTGCAACATATACACCAGAGTCCGCACATGTGACCTCGGCAACCCTCAGCTGTTTAAGTCACCACAAAAACAGTATCCAGTGACGACTATGTGAAAATATTTTTTAAAAACTTTAAAACCACTTTTCAAAGATTAACCGAACCTACTGAAAACATACTAATGCTTCTGTGCAACTTAATGCTGAGAAAGGGCTGTCCAACATACACACTCAGCAGTTTCATTAATATAGGTAGCTCTTGAATGGCCAAAGTCGAAGATATTAAAATGAAAAAAAGAGACTCATGGGATAGAGGAGACATAGGGGGGGAAAGTCAAGGCTTCATTGAAGATAGTCTATGAAATTCAATACAATTCCCAATTTCCCATGAATCAAACATTTCTCTCCAGTCCTATCCAGTCAGCAGAAGTTCTCACTATATACAGCAAATCTTTAACAGAATGGGCAGAAGGCCTGTTTTATCATGATCTGACCGAACTGTGCATGAAGAAAGTCCATCTGGGTTTACCTAATAGATCTGAGCAATCTAAATGGAGTTTTTGCAGCAGATAAGCCTGCTTCTGTGACGGAGCACAGTAGAGAGGCTGGCTGAAGCTCTAACGGCCAAGCCTTTTCTGTAGAGTGGCCCAGGGGAGATGCTGAGTACACACTGTGTCATAATGGAGCAATGTCACAGGCACCAAGGTAAAACCAGGGCAACCACCTCGGGCGTCACTCGGGAAAGGCAAACAACGTTGGTTACAAACACTGCAGCTCTCACTTTTGAGCCAAGGAATGGAGCCTGACGTGACAGCGGCAGAAGTGATACTACAGGCGTTAACTACCAGGATGGTGCCGACCACTCAGAATGCGAACACCCACGCTACACGCACCTCCCCACTGGCACATGCCAACTGAACACCAGCTCCAGATGGGAGGACGGGTGTGGGCCCGCTATGAGACGCCGGAGCTGCCGCCTCCCACTGCAAGGTCGCTCTGCCCTTTACATAACTCTGTGCTGTTTAGACCTTTCTGAGTCTGGTGCCAAACTGGCTTTGCGGATACTCCTAGAGACCCTGGGCCACGTTTAAACCATCTGGCCCGTGCTAATTACCCAGCTCATGAACACCTTAGCAAACTGTATGGGGAAGAAAGAATTTTACCGTGGAACTGCGGCTGGGAGACATCTGTGGCTAATAACCACAGGCAGATGCACCCAAATGCACATGCACACACAAACTCTGAAACTTTTCTAGTACTGAAAATAACAACTTGGCTTTCTTTGAATATGGAAGTATTCAGGGTAAGAAAGAGTATTACAATAGTCACTCTCATCCCAATTGTCAAGTTATAGTTACAAGATGGAAAAAAAAAATCCTACATTTTTCCCCTCAAAGTCAGGTGAAAACCTTGTTAGAGTGCTAGCAAGCTTGCAAGGCCAAAAATGAAAAGGATGGTAAGAATCAGTAATGCAAATCACCTGGGGGGTGTAAATAAATTTTAGAGGTCATAACTCAATATTAACACCTTATGACACATCTTTTGTCCCATGGGCACATAATTTAGAATACATTTTTTAAATGACAGAAGGCCAAAAGTGAGAGGAGTGACCAATAATGAATATGATTTTTTAAAAAGGGGTAACAGAAATATTCATCTTTCATAATAATTATAAATTCCCTCTGCAATCTCCACATACCATAAAAATGATTTGGTTTAGCTTTCGAATATCATTTAAACAAACAAGACAGAGAGGGAAGTTCACTGCTCAGGTTTGCAAAGAGGAGCATCTGTTCAGGTACGGACACTGCAGGATGGCTGCTGAAAAGCTACTTTTATGTGCATGATGGTGGTCTTCTCGGCTACAGTACAAGTGCTTGTGCATCAAGTATAAAATACAAGCCTTTAATCACATAGATCAGCTTTTTAGCTTTTGTAAATTTAAAAACAAAAAGGATAAATAAGGCACTGTACTTTTAAAAACTAAAACTGCTTGGTTCCAAGTTTAAAACCCAAGGAACAACCAGAATATAATATATAACTTCCCTTACTCAGCCTCAGAGAAAGACTGCAAGTTCCCTTCTCCATCTGAGATGCATTTTCTGACATCTTCAATGGTGGTGTTCTCCGTTAACTGCAGATCTGAAAGGCTGGCTGAGCTTATAAAAGCAGACTTAGTTAATGCAAAGTGAAGGGTTACTTTCTGTAGGACAGTTTAGCTTGTGGCTGCCAGCCTTCCGATCACTTCGCATCCAGCCGTCTCCGTTTGCCGTGACAAGAGTCCAGCTTTGCCTTCAGCTTTCGCTTTCTCTGGGCCGCACTGCTCTCTGGGGTTTTCGTCAAGGGACTGGCCCGAGTCTTTCCACTGCTCTGCTTCCTGTTGGTGGCTTTTTGTGGTCTTGAAGAGGATTCACCTGCCCCCTTTTGCTTTGCAGGTTTCATCCCTATCTCCGGGGCAGAGGGCTGTGTGGGTCTTTTGTTTGTATTTTCTTTTTCCCTCCTGGACGGAGGGCAGCTTTTCCCAGGAGACTTCTTAGCGGTCTTCAGCTTATTCTCTTTCAAGGATGTCTTTTTGGGCAGCTGGCTGATTCGGTCCCTCACAGCTGGCTTCTTGGCCGCAGGGGTTCTGGTGGATCCATCGGCATGCTTGTCTTTGCTGGCTTTCACCACAGGGGACCTTCCTGTGTCCTTCCTGTCCTGAGCGCCGCCGCTTTCTGTCCTCTTGCGTTTATTCTGCACTTCTGCTTTCGGCAAGATTTCAGACATTTGCTTCCCTTTCCTTCCCTTCATTCCGTCAGTACTCTTGGGCTTAATAGGAAACCCATCTGCATCCACTTGCAGGGCAAGCTTGGGGGACATCAGCGGGTTGATGCATACACTCTTACAACTCTGTTTACTTTCCACAGCCTGCCCAAACGGGCTTTCCATTTTCTCATTCTTGATCAAACATTGCTGGGCTCTGAGCTTTCCTCGAATATTGGAATATTTTCTAAGGATCCGGGTACTGGCTGGGGTAGGTGAGTTAGTGGGAGGATGGCTATTTCGACCTTCTTTAACTTCCTCTACGCTGTCTTCAGAATTGGGGCTGAGGCTGATATCACTGCCATCCTCTGGCTCCACCTGGTCAGGATTCTCTCGAAATTTGGCCCAGAGCTTCTGTGTTTTCCAATTGTTCCTAGCAGGAGTAGCTCCAGGAAATTTCTTCAAGTGTTTTTTCAAGCGTTCAGCCTGTAGTGAACTGGGGTACAGGCTGGAAGGAGAGTACTTCTGAAGAGGATGCTTGACAGGGGGAATGTCTCCCGGAAGACGAGTATTGAGCTTCTTCACAATCACCAGAGACCGGGTTTCAGTTGTCTCTAAGAACCATTTGCAAACATTAGATAATTTAAAGTTTGTCATAAACAGCATCTGAACAGGAGAAAACTTTTGAACCTCCAATGAACCCCTACATTTCCGTGACCTTTTCTTGCTTTTCCAAATCTCCTTCAGTTTATCTGACTTGTTCCTTGATCTTGGTGTTGGCTGGGCTTCTTTCTCCAGCTGGATCCAGCCTTTCTGAACTCTCATGTACTGTGCATTGAAGTTGGCAATAAGCTCTTGGTTCTCCTCCTCCGCACACCATTCCACAAACTTTGGCTGGTCATCTACCACCGTGTCCACATCATCCTCGTCTACACGATCTCCACTCTCCGAAGCTTCATTTTCCTTTGGCATTGGGTTTCCTTGAGCTACTTCCTTTTCTGAAGTCATTTTTGCAGTATCTGAGGAGTCCAGAGAATGAGCGTGTCTTAGGTTGTAGGTTGAAGAGGTCAGTCTTGTAAGCCTTGGTACCCATTTTGGGGGCCCAGCGGCATCACCACTTCCACTACTTGACAACCCAAGTGCACTGGACGGCACGTCACTATCGTCATCTTTACGCTGGGCGTTTGCAGTGCTGACCTCATTCGCAACTGCCTCTGGATCTTGTGCAGGAACTGGGTCTGGCTTCTCTTTTGATTGTTCTGGGAAAGTACAAGGAATACTTTCTGAGGGGTCATGAGCATTTTTCTCTCCTAACTTAGACTGAACATAGATTTCCAGTCTCTCTCCAGGCAGGGGCTGGCCAACTGTGGTTATGGGATCACTGCTGGGGAAAATATCTCCTTCTTCCCCCTTGACTTCTTTCGCCAGCATGTTTTTATAAGTCTGCCTGGTGATGATCCCACCTCCTTTGCCCTCCTGCTCAGCGTCTTTCTCAGAGGGATTTTCATCGACACCTGAGTTTTCAGGGTCCTCCAGACCTTTTGTATGGAAACCGTCAGCCAGAAGGCCCTCTGATGCTGTCTCGCCAGAGTACCCTTCTTTTTTAGAACGTTTCATACCAGGATTTTTAGAAATCTTGATCTCAGGACAAGCAGAGGAAGAATCTGAACTTTGACTTCTTAGGCACCTATCGGCAGAGGAGGGATCTGAAAGCTGACTCCTCAGGCACCTGTCAGAGGCCTCAGGGAGTTTTTTACCTTTTTTCTTCTTGTCCATATTCTCTTCAGGGGAGTCAATGTTTTGATCACACATATCTTTTTCTGAAGACTGTTTTACATCACTGCCCTGTCCCTCTGATTTTCCTGTACCACCTGCTGCCTCACTGTCCTCAATTTTGCTGGGGTTTTCATTAGTAAAAGTGCTGCTTTCCTTCAAGAGTGGGTCAGTATCTAGCTCCTGCGTGTCTTCAGTCTCGGCCTTGGTACTGATGCTTTGGCTGTCTTCAGCTTTTCCCAGGCTCAGGGGAGGCTCCAAGCCCACTGGGGGACTCTGACTTTCTGAGCACAGAGGACCTTCCTCTCTACTGACTCTTTCAGGAGAAGAATGAGGCCTAGAAACAACATCTTCACTGCCTCCCTCAGAAATGCTCTCAGTAGAGGAAATCAGGTGACAGTCTTGGGTGACAGTCCCCTCCTTGATATCCAGCAGTTCGACTGGTTGTTGGTCTCGTTCAGGGGAAGCCATCCCACTTGCTGTGGGAGTTGAGACCATGGAGCTGCCTTCTGGCATGTCCTCTTCGGGAAGGTGAGCAGGGAGACGCGACACCAGGCTGGAGGCTGTTGTTTCCTCTGACCTAGGAGAGCTGCTTGGATTTGGTTTATTTGTTGTGGGGCAAACCTCAGGCTCTTGAGATTCCTTTTCAGAGGAAGCTTCTCTTTCTCCTTCCTTGAGGGGGGTTATTTCTTTACTAGGTTCCTCATGGTCGTCCCCTCTGGGATGCTGCATATCCACTGCAGGTCCAGGGGCTGAATGTGGAAGGGTCTGCCTGGGAGTGACCGCTCCCTCTGGTTCCACTGGTGAACAGCTCGCCTTTTCTTGGGGGTGCAAATTTCTGGCCAGTGTGCGAACAGTTGGCAGCTCACAACAATCACCATTGAAGAAGTATCCTCGAGTACTCTTCCTGGCTGTTTTTCGAGAAGATAATATTGATCTCTGATTCTCCAAGTGGCATTCTGTTATTGGCTGACTGATATAAACGACATCACACTGGTTATCGTAATCGTTTATCCTCAACCCTGATGCCCTTTTACTTTTCCGAGCTGTCTTAATGGAGGCTGATATCATCTTGGTTCGCGAATGTCCATTGGATGCTTTGTGTACGGCTGGCATGGGGCTAGGGGCTAACCAACCATCTTTGGAATGATCAAACTGACCCTTATCACTGGGATGTAAATGATAACTCACCTTATTTCTTCCTAGTGAATGAAGATGGTTCTCTTGCTTTGGCCTTGAATCTTGTTCACTGGACTCTAACTCTTGGCGTAAAGGTGTTTTTGAGCTACACAGTAAAGCATTCTCTTTGTCAGCAGTTCTAGGTGAATTCCCAGTAAACCCTGAGTCCCAAGCCTCTTCTGATAAAGCTTTGAATGAATTTCTTTGAGAAACAATACAGGTGTTGCTCTCCTCACTATTCTCAGCTGCCACTTTCACTGCAATCAGACTTTCTACTAAAGCTGAGCCCTGCATATGGTCTTTCCCCTCCTCACACATTTTCACATCTGTGTCTTGCTCCGGTCCAGTGGTTTGCCCCTCCAAGCTCTTAGCGATGTGGTGGAAGCTTAATGAGGAAGAATTCAGTGTGGTGAGGTATCCCAGACTGCAACTATCCGTTGAACTACCAGAATTAGGTTTAGTGGTTGGAAGTTCAGAGGAATCTTTCTGGGTAATAGTCAAGGCATTCTCTCTTCCATCTACAGAGTTTGTCTCAGGAGGAGGCTCCTTCAGGGCCTGTTCTGTCAAGTGTGGAGGGCTGTGTGAGCCTGATGAGTCTACAAACAAATCTACAGAAGTAGGAGACATCATATTGAGACATGCAGCATCCTTTTCCTTATGTCTGGTGCCTAGCTGGGCACAGCCAGCATTGCAAGTGGATGCATCCATTGCTCCAGAATCAGGTCGCAGGTCCTCAGTGCCCGGCTGGGATTCAGTGTACAGATCGTTCAGGACACGGATGAACTGCTTCTGATGATGAGTGCACAGTTTGACCATAAACTTCTCCAGTGGGGACTTCGACTGATTGTTAGAATCTACTGCTATAGCCTCTGTTGAATTCTCACTAGACAGACAAAGAGAAAGGAGAAATTAGTATGGTCATTTTCCAAGGAACATTTTTACATTATGAAATTCACCAGATGTTACTCATGCTGTAAAGAGAATGAACAGACACTGTAAAACTGCTTCTAAGTGCCCTGTATAAATTTGATTTAATAAATAAGGAGTATATACCTGATTAAAATATAAGACCAGCCCTGAAATATTCTCAAATTTTAGTAACACCCTTCATACTTTTTAAGTGATCAATTCACAATAATTTTTATCTTATAGAGAAGAAATATCACTGAAAATAATTTTTCAGAAAATAAAATTTTGGCCACATTATTAACTCCAGTCAATCAACATACACTTTCATTTTAGGCCTGGGTATTCCTATTAGTAAACAGTCATTGATTTATAAGTCCACAACACTGACAAAAATTCAGACACACTACATTACAAATTTTGGACTTAGAGAAATTACAGTTTTAACATGGTTTCTCAGCATGACTAATTGGCTGGACTTACAATTCTGCAAACAGTAATGCAGGAATTCTTCTGCCCCTTTCCTGGGGCAATGAGAAATGGAGATTGGTAATTTCACATTTCAGACACAACGACAGATGGAGTTACAAGCAACTACTGATTCCTAGACCTAAGCAAGGAAACAGGAAATCCTGCAGTAAACTGCAAGGTTCTGTCACTGCAAGGAGGCAGCAGGATGTCTTCTCAGTCAAGCCCCACCTGCTACATTCTCCTAGACCTTCAACAAGCATTTTACAGTACTTCACAAGAAGTCATTCTACATCAGACAACCACTTCCATAAGTTATCCAGGACAACTCTGAAGTTTAACCTGGACAGTGGGAGGTGGCAGGCAAGGATGATACTAGATTCAAGACAAGCTAAAAGCAATTCCTGCACAGACAGCCGAGTGTTTTCAAGAGCTGCTCTGTGTTTCTGGATGTCTGGGTTTTACTAAGCCCAAGCAGTTGGAGAGCTCCATTTTTTTTTTTTTTTTTATTCATTTGTGAGAGAGTGCGAGCGAGCCCAAGTGGGGGGAAGGGCAGAGGGAGAGGGAGAAGCAGGTTCCCTGCTGAGCAGGGAGCTTGACCCAGGGTTCCATCCCAGGACCCTGAGATCATGACCTGAGCTGAAGGCAGACGCTTAACCGACTGAGCCACCCAGGCACCCCATCCAATTTTCTGGAGTTTTATACAACCTCTCAATTTCTCTCTCTCTGGACTGTAATTCCTCAGGAGACTATTATCTGACTATGAAACTGTCAGGGCACTCAGAGCAGCTTAATAAACATGTGTTGAACAGATGTTATTTGATAGTATCTTCCAGCTAATTTGTCTTTTCTTCAATCTCTGACTTTATCTCCTAGTCATGAGGTGCCTTTCCAGGAAGGCTTACCTTAGACAGCCTACACTGGCCTCCTGCCTTCCTCACTCGCCTTGTCGTTATGTCTATCAGGTGGTACCAACAGCGTAACATGTGTAACAGGATACAGTACTGTGAGATGGTAGTGAGTATTCTGCCACTTACTAGTTGTGTAACCTTGGCCAGAACACTTAACCATTTTCGGTCTTAACAGAGCATGTGCCCCTCTTCCACTTAGGATTAGTGCAAAGGAAAATCTACAAACTTATCAGTTACCATTACTGTCAGCCAATCACATTAAACACACTTCAATAAAGAATAATTCAGAGATGTACACTAATGCTTTCTTACAACCTAAAGTGAATTTTCCACATAAAGTTTATACTTCAAGTACCAAACATTTAAAAATTTTAAAGTATTTTTGATGGAAGTCTTTTAAAAATTATATCCTCCTCTGAACACAATTTATTCTTCCTAATGACTCAGGGTTGTTACCATGTTCACTATTATTAAAGTTTAGCTGAGTTTAGCGGTTATTTATGTTTTTGAGAGAGAGCAAGAGCGCGCACATGCAAGTGGGTGGGGAGGGGGCAGAGGGAGAGAGAGAGAATCTTTAGCAGGCTCCAAGCCCAGTGTGGAGCCCGATGGAGGGCTTGATCTCATGACCCTCAGATCATGACCTGAGCTGAAATCAAAAGTCAGATGCTTAACCTACTGAGCCACCCAGGCATGCCATAGCTGTTAGTTTTATTATACTGAACTAAAATATATTGATAGCTCTGGGGGCTATCCTATTAAGTAAATCTGACTGCCTTAATACAAAAAAGTCACGTTGGCAGTCTGTATGTTATTAAAATCTTTCTTCTTATTGGCTTCCAAATAGCAGCTGTGTTTAGGAGACTTACTTCAAGTGCTAGACTGGTACTTTAGGTAAAAATAAAGACTCTGAATGAAGGTTTCAGGAATAGTTTTATGAATAAAGTACATGGATTTTCTAACAACTCCAACTGCTCAATGGCCTTTATTTCTCAGTTTTTGGTTTTTGGATGTGTTCCTGAAGTTTCTGAAGAGAGGTGACTATAAGTAAGTGGGCTATCACTGCCTTTTCAATGCATCAAAAAAGTGCATTTTAGTAATACATGAAAAAGGTAAAATAGGCTGATCTAAGTTTATGAAAAAGATAAAGCATCTTACTGTAGGAAAAACTGGAGATAAATGGTTCTCTCCAACTCAAGAAGCACAATCATCACCAAAGTGTGAAAATCTTCTGGACACTGCTCCATGCCTATGGCTTTGCTCTGGAAAGCATGTTTTAGTATTTGGGGTTAACAATATGCTTACAGATTAATGAAATCAAGATATGTACCCAATAAGAGGACAGAGTGCTCTGAAAGAAACTGAGAAACCACTTTCTTCTAAAGTGATGCTCACACAGAATAAAAAACTGAGTAATAATTAATCCACAGGTGAGATCTAACCTCTTTTATCATTGTGAGACATCTGCTGCTATTCCATGTTTCAATAATTTAACAGTGCTTCAGTATTATAATTAGCCTCAACTAATGTAAGATTTTCCAAAGGGCCATGAAACCATCCCTGAAGCAATGGTTGTGGCAATATGGCTTAGTTAGTCCTGAAAGACAGAACAGACAACTACAGGTAGGTATGAATCTGTTTCACAGCACTACAGAAAGGGGATGTGGGGTCTTCACAACAAAGGCATATATATTGCAGAAATATCAGTACCCATTGAACGCTAACCTGGAACAGCAGTATAGCATTTATGAAAAACAGCATCAGAGGGGGAGTCCCGGAGATGAAAAGATTAAAACTGCAAACGGCAACCTTGATTAAAAGAAAGAGACATCAGGGTGCCTGGGTGGCACAGTCGTTAAGCGTCTGCCTTCGGCTCAGGTCATGATCCCGGGTTCCTGGGATCGAGCCCCGCATCGGGCTCCCTGCTCGATGGGAAGCCTGCTTCTCCCTCCCCCACTCCCCCTGCTTGTGTTCCCTCTCTCGCTGTCTCTTTCTCTGTCAGATAAATAAAATCTTTCAAAAATAAATAAAAGAGAGACATCAACAAAGGGTCATTTGTATGTGTGCTTTCCTCGCAAAAAGGATCAGGGAGAATGTACTGGTGAACCACAGCTCATCAGAGCAAGAAGTAGGGAGCTCTTTATCAGTTATATCCTGGGCCACCTCAAAACTATCCCCACCTGGAATGACTGCATCTTTTTCTGAAATCCTAAGCCATAGTGGTTTGTAAAATACATTGGCAATCATAAGGAATCATGTATATTTATCCTATACATCTTATTATCTTGTCTCTTTTACTGACTTGTCTTTGTCTTAGCTTTCCAAGCAAATGTAAGCTACTTGAGCTACTTGAGATGTAAGCAACAACGTAGGGATCACATTTCATGCTCTTCTGTTTTTTTCTTAGCAAAAAAGAGGGGGAGAGTAAAAGAGCATCAAGAATGCTTCCTGGGTTTTCTTCCTGGGCAGCTTCATTTGCTGAGATAGGAACACAGGGAATGAAGCTGGGGGCTGGTGATTGTTGCAGTAGATATGTGTCTGATGAGTTCCTTTCTGTACACATTGAGTTGAGGTGTTTTTAAGATTCTGAATCTGAGATGTTTGGAAAGCAACTGGACTGATAGCTTCACTTGGATCTGAGAACCTACACATTAATACTAACCTTTGTCCAAGTGTCATTAAATGGCCCTGTTATAATAGCTAACTTTATAACTATAGCAATAAAATCACTTTTGATTGTGCTCTAACTTACCAAGCTTCCTACCTTGTTTTTCTCTAGAAATTTTCTCAATAAGATTTTAGGCTTAGACAAATTTTAATTTCACATGATTTGAATATTTAATTTTTAAAATTAACCTCAACTTCCTGAAATTTATTACAATTCTTCATATTTTTTTTAAATGGGTGCAGTTTTTAAAAACTGGCTAGTTTTTGCCTGAGTTTTAAACAGCTAGTCTTTACCTTTGCTTCCAGCTATTCCATTTTTTCCTATAGTTTTAGGCCTTTGAGAGAGCCTAAATATGCATTTGCCCTGATTTAGAATACTCTCAGGCACTAAGGTAAAAAAGAGAGGGGCGAGCTTCTGTCCTGCAGCCCATTCATTCAACTCGACTGAAGGGAAAGCACTATGTTATAGTTCAGCGACTACAGTTTGGTATGATGGTATGTCCCTCACACCTGACTATGTAAGATCTTTACAAGAACAATAATTCATCACAGATTTCAAAATCACTTGTTTGATTTCATGTTCTTTCTGATCAACAACAGGAGTCTGTAATAGTTAAGTAAATTATTTATCAATCAGAAATACTTCACCTCCACTAAAGAGCTGTAAGGTCCCAGGGACTGGTAAATGGGAGATAGGGCTGTAGAAGAAGAGGGAAACTTGACTTCCAACTCCCTGGATGAGTTCTGAGTGTCTCTCCTTGGAGAGAAATAGCTTGCATGACCTTGACCACTCTGTCTTTCTATCCCCAGCTCAATGCCTAATTCTTAGGGGTGTGGTCAAAGGGAGAGATAATATTCATAACAACTTTGAAAGGCACAGTTTAAGAGTGATGTGTTGTTTCACAACCCTATCTGTAATGATTTACTCAATGAT